ACTGCCCCATAGCACAAACCCTCATACACAATCATACCAATTCAGGTTACATATATTGTCTATATCATTTTAGTACTGATTTAACACTTCTGAACAGTTGTGTATAAAGAAAATACTAAATAATTTCTAATGTGAATTTACTTATTTTTTTTCAAACTTTTGTTCAAATTAAAGAGTTACAACTTTGTGTGACTGTGTTCCTTGTGTCAGCATTCATTTATTCATTTACTGCAACTTCCTGACTCAGGAAATACTTGGAGATGCCATTTAGAAAGCTGCAGGTCAGATTTAATTGGCACTTGGCTAGGCTGTTTTTAACATAAGTTGACTTTTTCCTTTCCCACAACCACTTCCTAGGTAGGTTTCCATTTTTCTTTTGCTTTCAGATGCAGACTGTTTTAGCAGGCAGAGGAGTGGGTGCAGAGAAAGGAGGCAGAGAAAGGCACTTGAGAAAGGGATTGGACTTTGGAAACAGATCTGAGTTTAAATTCTCACTTCTAGATTCATTGGTAGTTGACCACCGCCAGCACTTAATCTTACAGCAGTGATAGAATGGATGTGGAAAGAGTGTTCACTGCTGGTCAGAGGAGTGATGGAAACTAATGTTAGAATCTCATGTTTTTCAGGCATTGTTGGGTGTGTTTAGCTGTGTGGTGAACAGGAGGGGGAGGAGGTTCATCTTCCTCCATCATGAAACCTTCAGTCTATAAAAAAAGGGAAACAACGGGGTTGTCTGCAATCAAACTGAAATATAAACAGTGGATTTAGAGGCCAGAAAAAAGAATCCTGGTAGAGGAGAGGAAGGGCATACAGGAATGGCTTTTTAGATGAGATGGTATTCGAGCCAAGAAGCAATGGATAAGAGATAGTATCAGATAAGAATAGAGCAGAGAAGAGGAAGGAACACACTCAGGGTGGCCAAAGTAATGAATTCATGGCATTTTCTAGAATAAAAAAAGCCATGAAGCTGATTCAAGGGGTAGTCTTCTCTTCTCGCTTGTCTCCCTCCCTTGGCTCCCTCCCCTTGTTTGCTTGCTTCCTTCCTCCCTCCTCTTCCCTCTCTTCCTCCTGTTCTCCCTTCACTTTCTTTTACCCCTCTGTAGTAGTAGTTACGTGCCCAGCGCTGAGGACATGCTCTGACCTAAGCACTTAGCCATCTTGCTGGAGCTTAGGGTGACAGCCCTCCTTCCATTAGGAATGCTGACCCAGGGTTACATGGAGGAGCAAGTCATGACCTGAACCTGCAAGTCTACCTAGAAAGTCTTGTCAGTAGACCGGAGAAGACAGACTTGGAGCTTAATGGGGGAGAATGTTGTGGTCCTGTAATCACAGGAATGTGTGCAATTAATTCTTATCAAAGCCCAGTAGAATTGTTGTACAGTCTATTATAAATTTTAAGAATATGAATATCAGAGTCAGACTGCCTGGGCTTATATTGCAGCTCCAGTCCCAACTAGATGTGTAACCTTGGGCAAATTGTTCAACCTCCCTCTGCTTTAGTTTACTTATTGTTAAAGCAGGGATAATTTCCTCACAGAGTTGTTGTGGGGATTCAATGAGTTAATACATATAACTTCTTAGAAAAATGCCTGGCATGTATTGGTCCTATGTAAATATAGGTTATTATTATTAAATTACTTCTACTGCACTACATGAGGGTAAACTTTCAAAAGAGGAACCCATTGATCCCACTTTTGCTAGGAAAAATAGATACAATAACTTGTTATACAGAAGTGAACAGTTTTTCAGAAATATGAGTCATATATATGAAAATATTATCAAAATAAAATAATATAAACTATTTAGAGCCAATCTGATTATGTTACGTTGCCTTCCTACCCAGACTTGAAAAGAAAGGTAGTTGAAAAATGCACATACACTCACTCACCCATACTCCCACAGTTCTGTATATCAGTTTAGAGGAGAAAACTGTGTTTAACCACTGAAAATTGTCGCTCAAGTTTCAGAATATCTTATAAACCTAAATCCAGTTCTTGGGTAGCATGAGATAGAAGGAGAAGCCCAAGGAGGCTCATCTGCATTCAGTGTCTTCACTAGTGTCCATTAACACAGCTCCTAGAGGCTGAGTGCACAGATAATTCCTGCTGTTGGGAGCAAAGACCCTGGCTACATTTCCAACCACAGAAGTCAGAGTTATTTTTCCTAGGGAAAAAAATGGGAGTTATTCCTCCTTTTGTACATAATTGTAAAAATATGAGAGTGGTATATAATGGGCACATAAATTGGCAAGATGATATGACTGCCCAAAGGGGAATCCCTGTGTTCATAATCAGATTTAACAATTTTGGTTTCAATAATGTTTGCTTCACTAGCTCTTCATTGAGATGGTGTTAGTGTTAAGGTTAACCAGTATATGAAGAGCATTTATTTGCATATATTATTCTTTAACACATTACACATTTGCATTATTAGTGGAATAATTTGCATTATTAGCAGTGACATACAACCAAAAAAAATCAGGGATTTTCTTATAGATTATGTACAATTTATCCTTCTTTAAAAGTAAGCTTTAAAAATCCCAAAGTGCTTCTTAGGTCCATATCAAAGGATGGTGTCTATGATAATAGTAACAAGCTTCCCAGTGCACTGTTATCAAGAGTTGTGCATTTTTCCTAGCTTTCTGACATGACTTTAAGCACATGAATTCCAAACTGCCAGACATTTGAATTTTAAGCCACTTAAATTTGGTGTCACCAAAACAAGGGTGAAATGTTCACATTTCTTGCGCCTGGTAACTATCATTTCACTCATTCACCTTCCCTAGAACAGCTACACCTCATGGGTTAGAAGCTGGCCTTATAGGAGAATCAGGTTGCCTGGTGTGTTCATGGCCACTCCATTTCCTGTGTCCTGAGACATCTAAGAAACACCACAGTTCTCTGGAATCCGAGCATCCAGTAGTGTTGAGTCACTCTGTTCCTGAGCCCACCATATTGTCACTGGGCTATCATGCAGGAAGGATTGAGTGATTAATTAGCAGGTCTAATTGAAACTAAATATACTGAAGTATCCAATATTGAACTGTTCAAATTAAACTCCACTGAAGTTGCACAATGAGCCTAGGACATCACAAGGATAATTGGCAGAAGAAAAATGGATGTCAATGATGACCATTCTTAGTGCATCTGCCTCACTTACCTTTGATTATCCAAGACTTCTGTGATTCAGGCATGTGTATTTGAACATGTGGACCACCACTCGAAAATCAAATATACATACATGCACTCTCACACACACACACATACTCAGAAGACAACTTTGATGTAATGAACTTAAAATTAGTGTCATTTTCTGCTATCTGACATGATTAATAACTTGATAAAAGGTAGCATGTTGTATATAGATGTGGTGGCATCCATCTAGAATGGATGCCAGCTATGTATGTTTTTTTAAATTCATTTTTATGTTGCTTTACTTAGGGAAAATTTTAATAAAAATTAAAACTAAACAAGAATGAGGGACATTGGCATTTCACATTTAGTTGGTGACACCAAATTTAAAGTACTTTAAGACTCAAATACCTGGCAGCTTGGAATTAATATGCTTTAAATTATTTCAGGAAGTTAAGGAAAAGAGCAACTTAAAAAATATGCTTGAAATACAACATTGATTAACTTACAATGATAAAATAATATTGGTCGGTTTAATTGTTCATTCAGAATTGCAAAAACAAGAACCATTTTTCAACAAATGAATCTTCACGCTTAAATGAATAGAAGAATATTTCTCACATTAAACAACTTTTTTAAGGTTTGCTTCTGTTTTGAAAGAAAAGCAAAATTAATGCCCTTTAGAGTATGAAATATTGCAAATATATGTTGGCATTTAACCTGTAACTAAATGTAGAATTTACTAATAGCCACAAATAAATATGCAAGGTCAAATGCAGAGTTAAAATAGTACAAATAGATTATTTATTTATGGAGTATATTTGCTGTGCGAGACAGGGAGATTAGGAGAGAGAGGCAGACTGTGAGGGGGAGAGAAATTACAGGCAATAGTGGATTTGCCATTGCAGGATGCATACATTCAGACTTAAGGTAAGTAAGAATTTAAGGAAGTGTCAGATTCATCCAGTGAGGACTGATTACTCAAGCTCATTTTAGAAGACAGTGTTTAAAACCGGTTTGGGAGTTCTTCTGACGAGTCCATGCTGCAGCAACAAGAGCTCTTTTTCTGCAGGTCGTTCGGAGTTTTCTGTCTCAAGCACATGAAAGTGAAAACATGACTAAATCTTCTCAGGTTCACGCTGCCCTTGAAGGATTTTTGATTGTTTATACTATAAATCTTCTCCAACATTGATATTTAAGACTCCAAATTCCTTCTCCATTAGCAGTGTGTACTAATATAGTTCATGAGTTTCTAAGATACTCCATTTGTGTACAAATTCTAAATCTTGACGAAAATACCTCTTGAATTAGCCTAGATAATAAAAAGTTGGTGACGTCTGAGTATATGAGATGTGTCAATAACAAAGTACAATTTTATAGTTCTCTTATGATTGTTCTAGAATGTGTGACTTAAATGACTTTTTTACTGGTGTTCCTGTGTAGCTTATTTATTTGCCATTTTTACATTTTTGTACAAAAATGAAGGAATTGTCACTTGTTTTAAAGGAATTAAATGTGTTAATAACAAAATTAATACAAGATAGTGGAGTCTTCGCTATGTATTGCCACAGTGTATTTAATTCCATGCATGCTTAAAAGATAACAGTGTGATTCCAAGGTACTAAATATCCCTCGGTCACTGCATTCAGAACTATTATCTGAAGTAAACTAGAATAAACTTACAGAAGGGTGAATTACTGAAAATAATGAAGTTGAGGCAATTCATTAATCTTTATCTGCTTGTCTGTTTTTTATAGTGTGGATAAATGGAAAAAATCATTTGGGGACTGATCAGATAGCAAGGGGTCTGGCATTATGAAGAGAAACATGGGGCTGAAAATGTTTTTTTTTTTCCTTTTAAATTTTATACAGCACCTTTTTCTTACATCCCTCTGTTTTCTTTTAGTGGCAAAGCATTTCTATAACACTGGTTGAGAAAGTTCAGATGATTGCTGTAATCCTAGGATCCCTGTTCTTAATAGCAAGTGTGACTTGGCTCCTCTGGTCAGCCTTCAGCCCCTATGCAGTGTGGCAGAGGAAGGACATCCTTTTTCAAATCTGCTATGGAATGTATGGTTTTATGGATCTAGTGTGCATAGGTAAGACCATGACGTTAAACATTCACCAACTGTCAGTACTCCATTTCTTTCAGCCATTATCTTTTTACCAGTTGGATCTAATCTCATAGAATGTTATGGTGGTTTATATTATCTTCATTTTCCAGTTAATTAACTATCTGGGGTGGGGAGGGGAGCGTGTCATAATTCGGACATTTTGCTAAAAAGCATAGCATTTATTCCAAAGTAGTTTGAAAAAAATAACAGGATAACGCCCACTTAAAGAGGTACTTTTGCAACTAAAAGGAAGGAAGAGGGTTGTAGAAAGTATTTGGTGGTGAGCAATATAAGGGCAGTCATATATTTCTAAGGAATAAGAGCAAATCGGTTTCCTTTATATAGCTGGGGAAAAGGTGGACTGATGCCTGGGGCAGTGTTGTACATTTAAGGTGAGGACAGTCACCTTAAAGACCTGCTTCATGATTGTGGCTCGGATTCCCTGGGGACATGAAGAATTCCTTGGAAGCTTCAGGGCTGGAGGGACAATGTTCCCTGTTGGCTTGTGTCCCTGTTTTTCCCATAAATCCTGTGGCTTAGTAGACAAAATGTATTAAACATTTTAGCTGTAATAGACTGCACAAGAAAAGGTTATTTCTGCATTTTACTTGATCTGTCATTTCCCTAATAGCATAAGAAAACAGAAACTGGTTCATGCATCATTTATATTGTGTGTGCGAGGTTGCCACAGGCACTGTGGTGGTGGCAAGTCAGTGGAGGTGGAATGAGGGTGGTCAAAGAGGGACACCAGAGGTGTCAGGAGACTTTCCCTGTCTGATGTGGTTTATAGCCTCATGGGTTGGAAAAGAGCTACAGGTGGTAACCATGATTTAAAACAACAGTTCTCAAAATGTGGTCCCTGGACCACTGGCAGTGCAACATCTGTACCACGTGTTTATAAATGCAGATTCTCAGGCCCTGTCCCTGAATCAGAAACTTCAGCCATCTGTGTTGCACACCCCCCAGCCAGATCAGATGCACACTTAAGCTTGAGAACCACAGTACCAAGGAATGGATGCTGAGTTTGGGGTCAAAAGACTTGGTTTCTAATCCTGACCTCTGCTAGGGCAGGTCAACTTCATCAACCCATAATCCCATTATCTCATCCATAAAGAATGGGATTAATAATACCTAAATTGTAGGTGTGAATAAAGAAAATAAGGATCATAAAATAATTATGCTATTAATTGGATGGTAGATTAAACATATTTGAATAGGTTAGAAACACTGAAATAGCTTTAGGTCACTTTAATTAATGTCTGAACTTCTAGACCCCTAATTTAACTAGCAGTTTCAATACCCTTAGCCCATTTTTTAAAAGAACTTTATAAATATTTAAAATATCATCAGCATGACTTTCCCTTTCCTCCCTTGTCACTAATACAAGACTAGTAAGAAAGAAAATGATCAAATTTCAGACCAAAAAGAAAAAAAAGAAGGGAGGCAAATGTGATGAGTAATATGTAAACTGAGCAGAAGTCGCCTGAATATTTGGCTAATTGTGTACATGAATACTTTGCATTAAAGGCGTTAATGAATATATAAGCATGTGGAAACTGTAAATATGGATTCAAACTCAATCTCTAGGATAGCTGTAAATAAAGAATAGCCACAAAATTGTTTGATACATGGAATTCCTCAGCCACCTTAAAGATAGGATTTATTCTTTCAATTTGAATGTTATAAAATGTGGTATTCCATTAATATTAGAAAGGAGATCCTTCAGAAATTAAAGGATTTTGAAAGTCTTCACCATAAATAAATGATAAATGTTTGAGGAGATTGATACCTTTAACTTGAATTTAAGCCCTACACAGTGAATACATATGGGGAAACATTACATGGTGCCCCCATTAATATGTATATTCTGTCTTTAAGTATCAGCTAAAAATAAATTTTAAAAGGAGGGTAGATTTAAAAAAAAATTAGCCATACCCTATTCAGCTTGGAGAGAAAAATGTCCAGTTGACTTTCTTGACATCATTTCAACACTAAAAAGGACCATACGTTTCCTGGTTAGGAAACTATTTTTTTTTTAATTTCACAGCTTACATTTACTGTGAAGTTATATCTTAGCTTTTGATTGTTCCTGTCAGCATTTTAATCAAGATTATTAGGATTCTGCTTTCAGGAGCCCAGACATATGAACTAATGATATTTTAGTAGTATGTAACATATTTGGGCTTCTCTTTTGAAATGTGAACATTTTCCCATTTTATAAAGTCAAGTTTCTTAGAAACAAAAATAGTTGCCATTTTTCTAAAGACATTTTGGGAAGGTAATTTTTTTCTCAGTTTTAACTACCAACAATACTTTTCATTGTTTTTTGGCTCATGAAATGCAAATCTCATCATTCAGTTATCTATTTTTATATTTCAAAAAATATTTAAGAATTCAGATTGAACATTTTTATTTCTCTTGGCAATCTCATTAATTAGTCTGTTTTGCTTCAGTGAAAATTTTATTTATTTTCCTCCTAAGGAATTAGGAAGCTAGTATAGTAAAGGAAACAATAGCCAACTGAATTGTGGTTAGTATTACTCCCTGCTAACATTTAAAACTAATTCAAATGTCGGTTACTTAAACATAGACAGATAGATTGTACTTTAAAAAAATGACTGGAAGACTTAGAGTCAGAGTTGGAGAGAAAAGCAGGTATAAAGCTTTGAGTACCATTTGCTCAGTTCAGCTTAACATCCACTGGAGAGTGTTCTGTGTCATACAAGTGCTGGGCTTCAGAATGCAAACGAGTCATCACTTTCCTGCCCCTAGGGGCTCAGATTCTCATGGGATTGGGGGAAGTGTCCAGAATCCCTAACCAAAAATAAAAGTATGAAGCTGAGAGCTGGTAGAGGGGACCCCATGTTTATGTCTGATGTCCAAAACTTATCACAAGACTTCCAAAACCACACCTCGAACAAAGGCTGCCGCAGCCTCACACAGAAAACACTTCTGTAAGAACATCTGCCCATGGTCTTCTCCATGTAAGTGGTCCTCTAACATCTCTGATTTTAATCCTTGTGGCCAAAGATTGTGGTTTCAAAGTGTTTTTTGTAGTTCTCCTCATTTTGCCTCACTCTCTTTGAATATGCACCAATTTACTATGACATATATATTCCTGTTGGAATGCCGCTGCAGATCAAGCTTAATTATTTATTGGAGAATCTTTAATGCAGCAGGATGTGCTGTCATGGAGATATGCACAGGAATTGGTAGTTGGATGATATTGGGAGACATGGACACTGGGTATTGCATGGAGCAGAAGGTTCCAGGCAGACATAGTGGGGAAGTAATAGCCAGGCAGGCTGACAGCTGAATAGATACTTGACTAGGAGAGATGGCCCTTCTCCCCACAGGAGGACGAGAGGTCTGTTCCCAGTAATAGGGTTTATAAAGTATTGGATATGTTTCTACAAGCTTCCCAAACTCAATCAAACCTACATGAGAAAGAACAGACTGAGAGCTTTGAATATTCTTAACAAAATAATTAAGAAGCTCCATACATGTTTATTCCAGAATCCAAAAATGATATAATCCAGCCTATTTATATAATGTTTAGGAAGGAATTGAATGGTTGAACAAATTTAAATATTTACAGAGTATTTACTTACTTGGGGAAATCTGTTTACTGATTTCCAGACACAATGAATTTGTTGTTGATTTCTTTTCATTACTAATTAATAATTTTTCACATTTCCCCAAATTTAGATTTTTTTTCTTGTTACAAATGTTTCAGATTCTCCTGCCAGTCTAGGCACTTTTGAAATATTGAAATATCAGGAGAACTGTCTGTAGTGATAAATATGTTCCATATCTGTGCTGTCCAAGTACCATACACCCTGTTTAATTAGGCTGTTGAGCACTGGATATGTGGCTAGTGATAATAAGAAACTAAATTTTAAATTTAATTGTGTCGAAATTACTTAAACAATTTAAGTAGTCATTGTGGCTAGTGGTCACTGTGTTGAACAGTACAGGTTGTGCTTATTGAATGACAAATGCATAACAACTCTGACCTCATCTGTATAAATACTGAAGGATAAAGTGACCATGTAAGGAAATTGAAGTATGAAAAGATAAAAGTTTTACGTTTGGGAAGCTCTTTTAAATATTTCAGTAAATGATAATCAGACTGGCTGTTCACAAGAAAACCAATACAAAGCTTTTAATCCTCTGGATGAAGCCAGTGGCAGCAACTTAGGAAAAAATGAAAATCCCAAAGCAGACTTGTGTTGACTCCCTTCTAGGAAGATTTGCACAGTGGACAAAGGGAGTTTAGGTTAACAAACTCAGGAAGGAGCAGGGAGAAGATAGGAGTGTCTCATATATTCTCTGGTTGTGTGACTTAGAGTACCCTTATGAATGACCACAGTTTGAGGGAGTGGAGGTGGCCATGTGAGGATGGAGAGTCATTTGATTAACTTGCATCTAAAAACTGAAGGCAGCCTCTGAATCATCCCAGAGGAGATGGAGCAAGGTGAGGTGTGTTCCTTTCATGTTCTAAGAGCAACAAACTAAAACCCTGCTCTGTTTGTGGGATTTCCAAACAGAATTAGCAGTCCACATATCTCATCTAAAAATATTGTAAGTTACAGGCAAATTCATGTCTGGAAGAGTTTTGCTCTTCCCTGGGATATTATGGGAGGATATTTGATATAGTTACAATATATATAAAAGCATGATTTGCTTTGTTCTTTAAAAAATATTCTTGGCCAGGTGTGGTGGCTCCTATGCCTGTAATCCCAACTACTTGGGAGGTGAAAATAGGGAGAATAGCAGACCAAGGACAACCTGAACAAAAAGTTAGTGAGACCCTATCTCAATCATCAAGCTGGGCATGGTGGTCCGTGTCTATAATATAATCCCAGCTACACAGGAGGCATAGGTAAGATGATGTCTGTCCAAGGCCAGCCTCAAGCAAAAAACACAAGACCCTATCCAAATAAAAGCTAAAGTGAAAAACAGGCTGGGCCACCATTCAAACA